TACTATAGGATTTTCAAAAAAAAAATTTCGTTCGTAAATCCGAATGGAAATTTGCACGGAATAACTTTTGACAACCAGTTTTCATCTTTTTCTATCCTTTACATATTTTTGGCTAATTTTTCCTCTATCTCTTTTTTCAAGCGACGCTAAGGTTTGGTAGTAGCCATTTTTCATTCAGTATTTGCCTCCTTCTCGTCCTGAGCACAACCTCGCTCCGAGAACTAAGATATTTCTAATAAATTATTGATTTTTGTTAATTTAAATTGTATTTTTATTTATCATTATAAATTACCCGAACGACTAAAATGTTGAACCCGACGTGATAAGTTTTATAATAAATAAAATAAAAGAAAGGTCGTTTGTGTAACGAACTTAGAATACAACAGACTCATCCGTAACCGCGATAATCTTTTCGCGTTTTAAGTCGTGCCTGAGTGATTTTAAGTATAATTTTCTATTATTCGAAATGACAAATGAAGAAAACGATTTTGGAAACCAAGCAGGCGTGCTTTCGGGACTTTTGCGCGACGCGCTCGTGGGTAATTGGCAACGAATCAAGTTATCTTCTTTTAATATTTCGGATACGGAATTGTGGTTCCTGCAAACGGAGGAAGAATTTCTCGCGGGAAATATTACATCTGAACGTAAAAAATATATGTACGTGACAAAGGTGCTCGATTCGCGAGTGTCAAATGAAGTGCGTGATATATTGTTCAATGAGCCACAAGAGGAACCATACACAAAATTAAAAGAGGAAATAATAAAAAGATTGTGTTCTTTTCTCAAGAGGAAAAAACTCGTATATTGTTAGAATCTCATGATATTGGAGATAGGAAGCCTTCTTAATTTCTCCGTCATCTCCGAGGACTCGCAGGATCAACAGTCACTGATCAGATGTTGAAGACTTTATGGTCCGGACGACTTCCTGCTGGTATGCAGCCGATACTCGCCGTTCAAAGCAATGCAAGTTTAGATAAACTGGCTGAAATAGCAGACCACATTCATGATCTCACAAGGTCAAAGCCAATTGTTGCAGAAACGTCCAGGATCACGGAAGATTTGGTGCAACAATTTACCCAAGTCCTAACTTCTTTAGAAGATAAGGTAACAAAGTTGCAACTGGAAGTGTCGGAAATCCGCGGTAATACTGGACCTTACAGGTCTCGCGGAAGATCAAAATCTCGCGCCGTGTTCGTACAAAGCAGTCAATGATCCGCGACCAACTTCCCAAATCCTCCTACGAACTTTCCGCCGCGAATGGATCAACTATCGCGACATACGGTACATCTGTCATTACGCTTGACTTGGGACTTCGTCGCGATTTTTCCTGGAGGTTTGTCGTAACTGACGTCACAAAACCGATCATCGGTGTCGATTTTTTAGCATTTTACGAACTTCTCGTAGATGTAAAAAATCGATCGTTAATCGACAAGAAAACAAACCTAACTTCTGCATGAAAAATTGTAACGAGTAAATCACCGAGCATTAAAGTTATTTCTGGCTCAAGTGCTTATCATGAACTATTATAAAAATTTCCGGAAATTACTCGGCCTGCTGGCACCTCGTCAGTGAAACATAATACGGTTCATCATATTCGAACGACACCGGGACCGCCTATGTCAAGTAAACCGTGATGGTTAGCTCCAGAAAAGTTGCATACTGCTAAAAAAGATTTCAACACATTAGTGAAACTCGGTATCGCGCGACCATCGGAAAGTTCATGGATGAAGTTTTACGTGATCTCGACTTCTGCTTCACCTATATAGACGACATCCTTGTTGCATCATCTTCACCGGAGGAACACCTTAAACATCTGAAAATAGTGTTCGAGAAACTAAAACTTTATGGTGTTGTTGCAAACCCGTCAAAAAGCGTGTTTGAACAAAAAGAAGTGCAGTTCCTTGGTTACCATGTTAGTGAAAATGGTACTAAACCTCTGCCCGGAAATGTTGACGCCATAGTGAATTTTTCACGACCAGAGACAGTTAAACAGCTTCGTCGGTTTCTAGGTATGATTAACTTTTATAGAAGGTTCATACCTAATGCTGCACATGTTCAGGCTCCCTTGAACGACCTGCTTCGAGGAAATGGGAAGAGAAAAACGCCCTTTTAATGGACAAAAGAAGCAGAAGCTGCCTTCGACGAAACAAAGCAGAGTCTGGCGGACGCTACGCTCCTCACGCACCCGACCGTCAACTGTCCACTAGCCATCTTTTGCGACGCGTCTGATTACACAAGGAAGTTGAGTAACACTGAGCGTAAGTACTCAACTTACGATCGCGAACTTCTGGCCATCTACGAAGCAGTGAAGTACTTCCGACACATGCTTGAAGCGAGTACTTTCACCATTTTCACCGATCACAAGCCTATAACATATGCTTTCAAGAAGAAGGATCATCAATGTACACCACGTCAATTCCGATACCTGGATTACATAGGACAATTCTCCACAGACATCCGTCACATCGAAGGAGAGGAGAATGTCGTGGCTGACGCTCTCTTACGCATTGAAGAAGTACAATCAACTCTAGACCTGAAGGAGCTAGAACTGGGACAAAGAAATGATCCTGAATTAAAAAGGCTTGAATTTTAAAAGTCAGTTTCTTTGCAACTCAAACTAATAGATGCCAGATTCAGACATCTCGTTAGTTTGTAATGTTAGTACACCAGTTGCTTGCCTATACATTCCGGAACCGTTGCGGAAAAGAATATTTGATTTGGTTCATAAAATCTAAGCCACCCAGGATTGAAGGCAACGGTCAAAATGATAACGCAACGTTATATTTGTCCGTCAGCTAAAAAAGACTGCGGAACCTGGGCCAAAAATTGTGTTGAATGTCAACGGGCCAAAGTCACGCGACATGTGCATTCTACGCCTGGAACGTTTCAACTGCCATCTGCACGCTTCGAACATGTTCACTTGGACATTATAATAATGACAAGTTCTAAAGGATGTCGATACTGCCTGACTTGAGTTGATCGTTTTTCTCCTTGGCCCGAGGCTGTGCCAATGCTGGACCAAGAAGCTGTAACTGTTGCCCGTGCCTTCTTCTCTAACTGGATCTCGCGATTCGGAACACCATTGAAGATAACCACTGACCAAGGAAAACAATTTGAGTCGCACCTGTTCAGAGAACTTAACCATCTGACAGGTACTACTCACTTCAGGACAACGCCTTATCATCCTGCAGCAAATAGAATGGTGGAGAGGTTACATCGACAACTGAAAGCAGCCATCAAGTGCCACAACAACTCTCGCTGGACTGAAATTCTACCGTCAGTTTTGTTAGGAATCAGATCAGCTTGGATAGAAGATCTGCAGTCAACAGCCGCAGAAATGCTCTATGGACAACAACTTTGCCTTCCTGAAGAGTTCCTGTCGTCTACAGCATATTCCGAGAGCGCAACAACACAATCCGCTTTCGTGAAGGAACTGCGGGAACACATGAACAAATTGCGACCAACACAAGATTGCAGGCATGGAACCAAAACAACATTCGTGTTCAAGGACCTTCAAACGACGAATTACGTGTTTCTTCGCACAGATTCTGTCAAAGCACCACTCCAGAATCCATAAAAGGGCCTTTTAAAGTTATCACGCGCTCCAATAAAACATTTGTTATTGAAGTGCGTGGTAAGAACATTTTCAAAAATTTTCGGCCAAATTTCCTTACGAATTTCGTACAAAATTCGAGCGAATTACGAACAAATTATTTTGGAAAATTTTTTGAAAATTTTGCTCGGAAATTAGTATGAAATTCAAAAATTTTCGACGAAATTCGTAAAAAAATCCAAGCGAATTACAAATGTATTTTTTTGGAAATTTTTTGAAAATTTTGCTCGGAAATTCGTATGAAATTCCGCACAAAATGTGAGCTAAAAATTCGTTCAAAAATTTTCGGCGAAACTTCCTAACGAATTTCGTATAAAAATTTTGCCGAAAAATTTTGAGGACATTTTTAGCTGACATTTCGTGCGGAATTCCATACGAATTTCCTAGCAGAATTTAAAAAAAAATTTCAAAATAAATACGTTCGTAATTTGCTCGAATTTCGTACGAATTTCGTATGGAAATTTCGTCGAAAATTTTTGAAGGAATTTTTAGCTGACATTTCGTGCGCAATTCCATACGAATTTCCTAGCAGAATTTTATAAAAATTTACTAAAATAAATACGTTCGTAATTTGCTCGAATTTCATACAAATTCGTATAGAAATTTCGCCCAAAATTTTTGAAGGAATTTTTAAGCTGACGTTTTGTGCGGAATTCCATACGAATTTCCGAGCAGAATTTTATGAAAATTTTTCCAAATAAATTCATTCGTAATTCGCTCGGATTTCATACGAATTTCGTATGGAAATTTCGTCGAAAATTTTTGAAGGAATTTTTAGCTGACATTTCGTGCAGAATTCCATACGAATTTCCGAGCAGAATTTTATAAAAATTTTCCAAAATAAATCCGTTCGTAATTCGCTCGAATTTCGTACGAAATTCGTAAGAAAATTTGGCTGAAAATTTTTGAAGAAATTGTCAAAAGTTATTCCGTGCGATTCCGAAAGAACGGATTTCCGAACGAAATTTTTTTTGAAAATTCGGGTACTATTCGCACGAATATTCGTGCAAAAAAAACGTTTCAAAACGCCACACGAATTTTACTAGTAATTTCAGACGAATTCGATAGGAATTCTTTACGAATCTGGCCGGATTTTTGAACGAAATGCGTACAAGTTTCGTACGAATCATTTTTACCTGGGCTCCTAACAGTAGTTTTCTAGAAAACTTGGTTTTGGACGTAAGCCCCCTTTACCAATACTTGGTCACTCACTGTGTTTTAAAGAAGCAAAAGTGTCTTAAATAAAGACATTTTTTGCGTCTTAGACACTAAAAGTGTCTTGACTTAAAACACTTATGTCCTAGTATTTTCTGCAGTTATATACAAAATATTCATTTTTTCAGAATCAATTTTACCTTAACATAACGTAATTTTGAGTGAAATTTGGTATATTGCATCATCTTTAGTTAAAAAACAAGCACTTGTTTGTCTCTTTATTGTCTTTACTTTGAATTCCATCATTGCACTGCTTGTTTTTAAGAAGAAAATGTAACTCTTCTAAAAATTGATCTCGAAAAGCAGTGTGGTCATATGGCGAGTAATTTGTTGTAAAGAATTTTAAAAACTGCTTTTCATTTTTCGTGGGTGGACGCAGGAGAGTTTTAGTTTGTGTTTGATGTTGCTTAGCTTCTGATCTCCTCATCAATTGCCGTTTCTTAGGTTTTGGCTGTTCCATTACTCGTTTTAATGCTGACAGTAGTCGGTACATTAGGTCAAACTGAATTGGACAGAAAAGAAAGACATATGTTATTAATATAGTTCGTTATTTATTATTTAATTATAAAAATACTCTAAGAGATATAGAATTAAAGGTACTAGTGAATGATGTCATTAACTATTCTGCAAACTTTGTTACTGCATTTGATTTAACCGGAGAAAAAAAAATTACAATAGAAATACATACGAAAACTTTGAATTATAATATATGTAACTTTGGCGAAAGAAATATGCTTTTATAAAAAATTACCTTCTTCATAGCATCTTTAGCTTCATTTAGAAGCTTTATTTCATCTCGAAAGCCTTCTTTCTCACAAGCGACAACCATCCTGTGCGGTAAATTGTCTAGCTCTATACTTATGTCTTCATAAGCTTTTTCAATTGACTGCATCATTGTGAAAGCTTCAAGATTAGCGTCGTTTATTGATACACAAGATTCATATGCATCCTCAATGAAGACTCGCAAGTATAAAACATCCTCTGAACATACTAAGGCACAAAAAACACCATGCAATAAGGAATTTGCATTTCGTTCCAAATCAGCTGCACAATTTTCTGCGGCTTTAATAGAGTGCTATGAATGAATAATTAATATTACTTTCAATTATTACTAAATAAAAACACGAATAAAAACATTAATTTTACAGAATTATTAGGAGGGATTGTTAACAAATAGATTATTATTATTTATCTCAAAAAATCTCCCATCTAACAAGTTTCAATCAAATTCAAGTGATTTTTATCTTTTCAACTCGACTGTGTGGGAGAATTAGAGAATATAGATAATTTTTCAACTGTTAGGAAATTCTTGGTGCTATGTGGGAATTTTATTAATTAAAAAATAATTTTTTTTATTTATACACTTGTCTTTTGCCTTAAAGCTGGCGTTACAAGTGTCCCAGTGGAAATTTTTTTACATACTAAATTTTTGCGCCTACAAAACTACTTGAGAATTATAAGGAGTATTCGCATTTGCCTGGACACACCCGTCTAATGGGTTTTCTCGCTAGTGGAGAGGGAAACTGTAGAAGACCTCTTTGAGTACAACCGGTTTATGGACAGTCGAGTTCTAAAGGAGAGTTCAGAATAGGGTTTGTGAACGTCGGTAGAAGCGCGTTGGTCACGTGATCTCCATATGGAATACATAGGACGACGCGTTAGTATCAACGCGTTCATACCGACGGCGACTCTATTCTGGACTCTCCTTTATGGTGTGTACCGTTCTGTAACTGTTCTTTATTTCCATTAACTGTTACAGAACAGTTCCAGAACGTGCACACTGGGTTGGTCCGACAGCGTTTGCCGAGCGTAACATTTATCCGACCGAGCTAATCTGTCGGTTAATTTAAAAAAGAATTTAAAGATTAGTAATGACTACTGTAAAAGATTATGCATCATTTTTAACTGAAGATTTGATCATGTAAAATCATTACTGATAACGCTTTTAAGTGTAAAAACATTTTTCAAGTTAACATTAAATAGGAAAGAATAATCAAAGTGGATTTTTAAATTTAACAGTAAAATATCGATTACGATGTACTTATATAATTACCTCTAAATCTTTGATTCCTTCGGAAATTTCATTGATTTCAGATTTAATTTGATTTTCAGTCTCGTCTATTGTTATCGCCATATCGGACATAGGACCTACTAATGATTCTAAATGAATCAGAGCATTAAGATTTTGCAATTCGATTGTCTTAAAGACACTATTGAGATCAAGTGGATTGTCAAAGAAGAGTTCAGGTGGTTTGGCTTTTAATACATCTTCTTCAAACATATCTGCAAATCGTGTAATATTAAAACCACAATTAAGTGTTATTACATTGGTTTATAGTGAAATTGCTAAAAATATATCCAGAAACTAAAGGAGAAATAAGTTGGCAACACTATTGAGGAAGATTATTGGTGGGGGGTCAACTCGTGTTTAAAAGTAGATTTTCCCGCTTTTAAGTCATAGTATGCTCTAAAAGTTACTTTTAAGTCGAGGTTTTGACGAAAGGTGTTACAGAAAGAATTATTAAATTCGAAAGAAGTTAACAATTTTTCCGAATCAATCTACACAAATAAATTAAATATCTTAAATGAATCATATGTATCGACAGCACAGCTGCCCTAATACAGAAACCTGATTAATTTGAAAAATATTTTCAAAATTAATTAATAATTTCAAAATTATCTATCCCCGGAGGATCTCGGGGTGCATGTAGCTCAGTGGTCAGAGAAGTCTACCGGCAATAGAAAGGTCGTGGGCTCATATCCCACCATGCTACCGTTTTTTATGAGTTTTTTGATAATTTTGAAATTATTAATTAATTTCGAAAATATTTTTCAAATTAAGCAGGTTTCTGTTTTAGGGCAGCTGTGCTGTCGATACATATAAAACCCATGAGCTTATCGAGATTTGTTTAAAATATTTAATTTATTTGTGCAGATTGATTCGGAAAAATTGTTAAAATATGGAAAATTGTGATTTCCAAATTTGGTATACGTGTATTAAAAAGTTTCTCTAAGTAAAACTAAAAAAGATAAATCAAAAACTCTTTCCTATTTTTTTAGTAGAAATCATAAGCTTTCAAATGATATAAATTAACTTGGATTTAGAGAATAATTTCCTAGATTTTTACCGATCTAAAAAAAAGTGAGCGGGTTTACCCCAGCAGTCTCCCCTACTTATTGTTCAGCTCTAATAATTAAATATTTTATAAAAAAATAATCTTTCTTACCAATGAGTGATAATATGGAAGATGATTCGTCAATATATTGAGTCGAACTGAAAGTTTTGTCTTGTCCTGAGGGTGAATGAGAAAATGGATAATTGTCTCTATGAATCCAATCATGTTTCTCTCGCCAGGACATTGGTGACACTTGGTAAAGAAACTTTTGACATTGTTTAACCATTCTCCACGCTTCTTCCCAAAAATATACTTCTAATCTTACTTGTCCATAAACACTTGAAAGTTGATTTTTTTTATTAGTCATCTCAACTGTTAGTTTTTCTATTTCTAATGCTTCGTTTAAAGTCTTCATGCTCTTATCGTGATCATTAGATAAAAATTCTTCAAAGCACTTTGAGTACATCTGACAATCTCTCTAATTCATAGAATATGAAGAAATTTATAAATTTAATATTAGATTATTTCTTCTTAATTATAAATTAATAGTGTTTGTATAAAGAGTCAGTTCATGATACAGTCGTTTGTGTTGATAACCAAACCATTTAGCTACCCACACGACACGATTATGCAAATAGTGTAATTATGATTCAAGACTTCCAGACTTAACCAAGATGCTCTTGAAATAAGATATTTTAATTGTTACAATATATTAAAGTAGCTATAAATTGTTGGAAGTATTCATATTTAATCTTTTTAGGGTATGTTTGGAATGATGCGAGGGTGTTGCAGATTCCATGCCAATTTAGACCCTCTGATCTTTATTCAAGTTTATCTCTTAATAAGTTTCTATTCGTTAGTAAAGCCACCAAAAGGCTCTAATGTCGATGGCATAGAGATTATTGAAACTTTATGAAGCGAAAAATATGAGGGTGATCCTAGATTTTCTAATGAATCACTTCCTCCATTCATTGTTCATATTGGATCTATTTTTATAGTTAGATATTTATAGTTAAAATCAAGTAAATTTAACTTTTGTTTATTGTTAACACCAATTCAACTATAAAGAAATTTTTTTTAAACTTAGTACTTAGATATTTTGAATGTAGGTAATCTCATTGGCTCTAAAATCATACCTGCAAACGATGTTTTTATCTTCATTAAAAATCAAACTAAAAACCGTTTTGTAATGTTTTTTTGACACATGGTAGGCAAACCTTATTGGCCGGTACTGTACATCAGCAAGTTAAGAATTAAAATCTGTTTTGATCCCAGATTAAAATTCCCGTAAAGGATCCTCAAAGGATCCCGTGCAGTTCCTGTACAGGATCCGCCAGGGATCTTTGACTTGTCCTGTACGGGATCACGTACAGGATATTGGGACAAGGAACCTGCATAAGAACCCGTGTGGGAACCTTGATTGTTGTAGTCCCTCGCTGGTTCCTGTGTGGGAACCTTAACATCAGATTTTTTACAAAAATTTTCCCTCGTAGGGACCTGCACGCGATCCTGCTTTTATTGACATCCTGTAAAGGAACCTATGTAGAACCAAAAATATTATTACTTATGACACAAAATTTGTCAAATTGACTTCCGAAATTGCGTGAAAATTGTATCAAAATGTGTTTCTGACAAACACTAACGAAGCAAACACGAAAGATGAGAAAAATTCGCGTCTGCGTCATGCGTTTCTTATTTGTTCTTGCAATGTCGATTCACTAAGGAATCGATCTACCTTGTGCGTTTTCAAGAGTCTGGACGCTATCTGGTCCCTGTTACCCAGTGAAAAATACCGATAAACTAAATCTCTGCAGAGATGATCCTTAACCCAGGAAGCACTTGATCTTAAGATCAAGGAATATCATATCATTGCTTCTGTTAAGAGAGACGTACCACTATTCACTTGGGACAGTCAAAAGAAAATTTGTTTGTGGTGTTTGTCGACGCGAAGGTACCTACAGTTGTCAGGCAATCAATTACCTATACCTATATTAAGCACCTATACTGGGTATTTTCTTCGTGCTCACGGATTATGATCTGAATCACTCAGTGGAGCTCACATTAATATTTAAATGAGGTCTATGTTATTATATAAATAATATGTTGTATACCTTTATGTTATTTAGCATTTTTCGTTCTTCGGTCAATTGCTGATCTGCTTGAATACATTCATCTCGTTGTTGACTTGATAAAATTCTGGTAGATAGAACTTCCCTTATATCATCGATATATTGACAAGTCGATAATCGTTCTTTTAAGAAAAGACTTTTTAATTCCTTAAAGTAATTTTTATCGTCATATATCATAGTTTTTGATTTACTACGAACAGCAGAATGTAATCTTTCTTTTTGAATTTTCGATTCACCCTATATAAACATTTTAATTGATTTAAAAATTAATTAACACATCGTTTTACATCTCCTAAATATTAATTTTTCATGTTTTCCTAAAAGAAAAGGGTATATACATCACAAAATAAGGATAGTTTATTGTCTAAATGTGCAACACATGTACAACACTTTGATCATATCACAAAAAATGTCGACAAACGCTCCAATATGAAAAAAATAAAGAATCTATTTCCAATAATGAAACGGCATTTTATTCGTTTAATTTATTTAAAGTAATTATTCTGAACTGGCTGACAACTTATAAAACAGTACAGTTCACTCGTTAACCCTCCGTCACACACATGGGAAAAAATTACAACTTTACACACGTTTAGAGGGAATCCCTCACCACATTTTATTGTAAAATAAGCAACATTACAACATAAACAAAGGAATCAACAAAAATTTAGTTTTAACACAAACTTACAAATATGTAGTAAATTATTCTAAATTATAAAATTAATAAAATTAATTTTCGGTCTCAAAAATAAAAATTAATTACACGAATGCACATCTTCGAAGGAATTCCACTTGACATGTAAAAATAATGTAACATTAACAAATAAGCAAAAAAATCATTAAACAATTCATTTTAATTATATTTATAATATAATTTTGTCATTAACCAACAGTGGAACAAAAAATGTTTTGAAAATTAGATTTTTTTATTTAACATAACGTCACTTTTTCGAGTTTTTTCTGGCTTCGAAGCTTCATAATTAAATATTAATTATGTTTAAACTAAATGTTTTTTTAGAAATGTGTTGAGGAGTAAATTTTCGAAAGGTATAGAAACTGATTATATTTTGCAATGAGGAAAACAAAAGTTATTTAAAAAATACTGAAACCGTAGAGGGAATCCCTCTACGTAAAAACTTAATACTTCGCTCGACCGCAGAAAGTTTTTTTTAAAATAAGGGGACTTTCTGGTCTAGAATTAATAAAAACAAACTTTTATTGTAAAAATAAAAGTGCAATATTCTAATTTACCTGAAATCTTATTTAACTGAATGATAAATAAGCTGAATTTTAAAATGTCAGAATTCCCATTTCACCAGTAGATCTATGTTTAATTTCTACTGGTCTCAACTGATTCATTAATATAGGGAACAAGAAGGATTGAAGAAGCATTTAGGTATACAAGCGGATTTTCTAATACAATTGGAGTTGTTGGTGGATCACATATTTGCTCCATCTAAGAATGCAGTCAGTTATGTAAATCTGAAAGGTTTTCATTCACTTATACTGAAAGCAATGTATGATCATCAATTAAAGTTTCGTGACATTTTTAGTGACGTGTACGGCAGCGAACACTATTCACTGTTTGGTCCATGAGCGACATAAAAACCTATATTAAAGCAAGTCCAGCTTTTAACTCTTAGGCAAATATGTTGTAATCATACATTATCAAAGAGTCAAATGGCAATAGAAAGAGCACTTGCTTAATTGAAGGGACGTTGTTGTCGATTAGAATATTTATACTTACAAAACATTAAATATGGGTCTCTCATAATTTTGGCCTGTTGAATTTTGCGCAACATATGTCTCGATTTGAATGACGAGGTAAGCGAAGAGATTTTAGGCGAAATGTATAATTTTGCTGACGTTGACATTAAGATTTTTAAGCAATAAATGGGAGAGATGTTCCTGTTAATGATGAGGAAAAGAAAAACTATTGCCTATATGTTAATGCAAGAAAAGACAATAACAATCCCAATATCTTAGGCTGGAGCAAATGTCCCCAGATAGAAATTGTGCGTCGTACTTATCACGTGCGCCGTGCGGGATACTCTAAGTAACGCGCACTGCACGCATTGCGCATACATCAGTGAATGCTTCACAGATGCTAGTTGTATGAACTGCATTTGAGGATAGTATAAGTAAAGGATAACCAGCACCTTGCTCATGAGCTGTGACAGTGTTATTGTGTCGCACTTTGCAAGCATATGGAAGTCACATGTGATTCCATCACAAGTGCAAGTGTTCTTCTTCTACTTCTTAAAGTTCATTCATTGGCTTGCTCGTGCGCATTGGAGCGCTGTGTGCATTCGCCATAACCTGGTGTTAATGCGAGTTTGTATTGTATATAGTTGCACACGGAGCGGTTACTCGAGCGAGCGCGGTAAATTTGAATTTTTAAATGTGGTAATCTATAATGGGTAAGTTAAAGTTTAAGGTTGGCACGTTTGAAAAATCTGAAGGTATGGGATATTAAGGGAAGTGTTCCGGTTGTGGGCACCCTTTTGTTTTTGCCTCATAACATTTGTCCATGTGCATATTATTCAAATATATGTGTACGAATTTAAAGCTAGAGGTCTAAGGTGACTGTCAGTGAAGGAATTAAATTGATTCCTTTAAATAAAAAAGTTTTATTAGAAATTTAGTGAAATGGGAATTTTTTGACAAAAAAAATTTTGTACCCGGTTGTGGGCACCCTTGAAAAATCCGCTAAAAATGGAAAAATATTAAAGGAAACCAACACAAATAAAGAAGAAATGAAAGTTTCTTTATTTTAAGAGAATTTGCCGGGATAAAGAACAAAAATGATGACACGTTTTCACACTATGCTCATCGCTAACAAAAGCATAATGCTTGCATGTGAAGTAGCTAGTACGCATACCATAACGCACTTCTAATGCACTGAACGACTATATTTATCGCATTTAATGGAGTTTGCGGCTGTCACTTTCCTTGGCAGAAAGTTTAGATAGATGAGACAGTAGTCCTCATCATTGTCAGATGGTAGAGCCTCCTTAACATAAAGGTGCCCACAACCGGGAATGACAGTCATTTTTTAAAAAGACCAACACATTTTGTGATGCAGGATTTTGGTTAAACACGAAGGTAAATCACAAAATATAATGACAACACTGCAAAAAAAAAATTAAACCCTTTTTTTCTGAACGAATCTACACCCATATGTTGCTCTTCGAAAACAATACAAAATTACTTTTTTATTTATTTAATGCAAATTTTCTTTATTATGCTCACAGCTATTACACAAATGCATATATTTGTTTCGTTATCAATACGAAAAGTCCGTATTGTCAACGAACACGACTTGCAATACTTAGTTCAGTAAAGTCTGCTTGCCGTCGAAGTTTACGTAGGGGTGCCCACAACCGGAGGGTGCCCACAACCGGCGCACTTCCCCTACTTTTAAGGAAGGATGGGAATTTATTTGTGAGCTACAAAAGGGAGGGGGGCATCTGAGAGATTTTGAGAGGCCTTTGAAAAGATCTGTTCTGAAGTTTGAGTATTTAGGACAGGACCATAAAATATGGTCAATGTCTTCTTCTATTCCGAGAGAACACTGACAGTCACTAGAGAAGATATAGTTTTTCCTAGCTAGGCTAGCATTTGCAGCGTAATGGTTGCTTTTAAGTCTGCAAATGGTGACGATCCATTCTCTTCTTGCTGGTAAAGAAGCAAACCATGGTTTGCTTCTAGGCTGATAGTATCTTTGTGTGAAAAGTGCACCCTTGTATCTTCCGATTTCAATGAGATAATCGTGGAAGCTATCGAAAAGATCTTGACGGGCTATAGCAAAAAGATCTGATGAGGGAAGATTTATATTTAGGAGTTTGTTATTTTTAGCTGCATTCTTTGAAGCTAAATCGGCTTCTTCGTTGCCCGTGATTCCAAGGTGTCCGGGAATCCAACATAGGGAGGCTGGGCGTCCCAGATTGTTTAAAATGTGTAGACGGTTTCTAATTAAAAGAAAGAGATAGGATTTGATAGAGGAAGGGATCATTGCTCCGATACCTTGAAGTACACTGAGCGAATCAGTAAAGATGACTGTGTTTGAGAGATTAGAATTTAATATGTAGTCCAGTGTTATGAGAATAGCTATTGCTTCTATTGAGAAAATTGAGGCGAAGTGAGAAATTTTATGTGAGAGACATAAGATGTGTGAGGGACAAATAAGCGCAAGACCCGAGAAAAGATGGCCTTCGTACGGAAATTCAAAAAAAGGGTGAATGTCTTTTTTCTGTATGATAGGGATGAAATTATTTATTTTGTTGAAAGCAAAAAGGAGTGGATAACAGTGACTAATATTTAAATTATGATCTAAAGCGTGTAGGTAATGTAAGTTATTGACAATAGGATGAGAAGAGTTAGAAAAGGTCCTAAGAAGATATCTCTTGGCAAGAAAATTGAATCTCAATCTCAGGGGGGGTTCGCAGGTTTCGGCCAACATGACGTTTATTGGGGTGCTGTTCCTATATTCCAATACTAATCTTGAAGCTTGATTTCGAACTTTTTCTAGGGTGCGGAAGCCTTTTTTGTTTTAAGGTTGTAGCTGTGAGAACCATAGTCAAAATTGCTTCTAATTAAAGAGTAAAAAATTTGAATAAAGATGAGAGGGTCAGCTTCCCACCATGTCTCTCTCAGAACCTTTAGTACGTTAAAAATGTTCCTGCATCTATCGATGCACCATTAATTTTGAAAAATATATTTTTACAGGCTATAGAATTATAAATGAATTTGGCTGTTGGAGAGGGGATGTTAATTTCTTTCAGGTCTTCCATAAGGATTGATGGAATTACGCTTGGGAAAGCACCCCTAATGTCTAAAAAGAGACCTGCAGTGACCTCTTTGTTTGCTATTCCAGTCCATATTTCTGAGGATAAGAGGGCAAGACAATCTGCAAACGATTTGTTTTTTCGAAAGCCATATTGTGTAGGAGCTAAAATTTTGTTATGTTCTACGAACCAAATCATTCTGATGTATATCAATTTTTCCATAAGTTTAAACAAACAGGAGGCTAAAGAAATCGGTCGAAACTTTCCAGGAGACGATTTAGGGAGGAAAAAAAATCAAAAAATTGTTCCAGGTGTCAGGAAATCTGCCTTCTGAATAAAGACAATTATATATAGTTAATATATAGGTAATATATAGTTAGGCTAATATATAGTTAGGGTTTCTAAGGATGAGGTTGGTAAGTTTTTGATGATTTAAAAAACGATTTTGTCTAGGCCGGGTGAGGATTTTGTTTTTAAAGATTTAATTAATTAATTAAAGACAATTATATATAGTTAATAGGGTTTCTAAGGATGAGGTTGGTAAGTTTTTGATGATATTAAAATCGATTTTGTCTAGGCCGGGTGAGGATTTTGTTTTTAAAGATTTAATTGCGATTCTCAATTCAGTAATGTTGAAAGGAGATTCAAAAAAATTGTTGGAATTCAAATTTTCTAGAAAGTTATTATGAAAAGCTGTTGGTGGGCAAAGATCATCTACCATGGAGAGAAGTTTATCGATAACTGCTCTGTCTGCCGAACAAGATGCGGTGGCTAGATGCGCAAATCTGTTCTTAAAACTTTTGACTATAGACCAAACTTTAGATAGTGGAGCTTCTCTGTCGAGAGTGTTACAGAATTTTTAAAGGATTCTCTTCTGGCAGAAATAAGTGTGCGTTTGGCTTTAGCCTGTGATTTTTGGTAGTTACAAAAGTTTTCATAATTTGAATTAGATTTATAAGTGGAAAGAGCCAATTTTCTTTCAGCAATGGCGGAAGCACACGCATCGTTCCACCAGGGAGCTGAAACGCGAGGCTTTTTGTTATTAGTTGTTTGTATTCTATTGGGGTTAAAGGTTCTACGACTACGACACGCTGTAGTGACTGCTTCATCGATTAAATTGTTAAAAAGGTTGTAAACATCAATTATATTTGCGTCTAGGGCATTCAAGTTGACAATATTTTCGGTTATTAAATTAGAGAGGGTATTTGTAAAACTACACCAAGAGATATTTTTAAGGTTATATTTATGAGAGAAATAAGAAACAATAGGAACTGAGATACCTATAGTAGTAAGAACAGGGAGATGATCACTGCCTAGGGAGTCAGAAAATGTTTTCCAGGAAGATTAAATATATATATATATATATATATATTAGCGGAAATAAGAGAAAGGTCAAGCATGGAGCCAGGTCCACCACTTCGTCCAATAAAAGTGGGATCACCATTATTCAAGCAGACCAAATCTGAATCATCTAACTCTGAGCATAAATTAATGCCGTTGGGGCATACGTATGGGCTGCCCCAAAGTATGTGATGGCAGTTGAAGTCACCTCCAACGAAAATTGATGAAAAGTTTGTATCTGTGAGAGAGTTGAAAAAGTTTCTCCACACACGTGGTGAAGTCACCTTTCCAGGAACTCTATAAATTGAAACGATCAAAAATTCGTCGACAGAATACTGTATTGAGACTGCAAGTGTCTCTAGATCGTTTTCTACGGACGGAATTGTGGATATTTTTTCAAAAGTTATGTTTTTTTTAATGGAGATGATTAAACCACCGCCTTTGTTTACAGTTCTATCGAATCTTATTATGTTAAAAAGTTTAAGACTATGTAGATTATCGGGTTTACCTGGATTTAAATGTGTTTATATCGAATATCGAACTCGTGAGAGATTTTAAGAATTTCGGGTGTCTTTTTGGAGACACCGCGACAATTCCACTGTAAAATGCGGGGGTTAAGGAGACTGGCCATTATTAACGGACAGAGATTCAAATAAAGAATATATATGTATTATCTAGGTAATATTTCGGAGAGTGTCTTTGATTAGATTGGATTTTTCAGGGGGAACGTTCTGTGATTTATCTAGAAGTAATTTTTCGAGAGCATCAAAAATGAAAGGAAGGGAGGATGTGTTTTGTGGAAGGATTATCTGATTAGAAGCAACGGAAGTGAGAGCTGGTGAAGAGAGAGCAAAGCCGTTTGGTAAAGAACTTGCATTTCTGCCATTGTTCCATTGAGAGGCATAGAATAAAGATGATGATGATTTTTGTTTTGAGAATGGTTTTTTTAACTTGCGCGGGATTGGCTGTAACTTCTACACGAGGAGAACCTGTGATGTGAGAGTAAGAACGATTTTGATTAGAGCCATTATAATTTGGCAGTTCTGGGGTAGGTGAATCACTTAGCTTAGGGAAATCCAAGAAGTTAAATGACGCAGAGGGTTTTTTAAGTCGTAGTTTTGATTTGGCCTCTTCAAAAGAAACTTTGTGAGCAGTCGCATAAATACTAACTTTTTTCTGGAAAATATATTCACTGCACTCTTTCGAGGTGGGATCGTGGGGAACTTTACAGTTAATACACACTTTTAAGTCTGATTCTAATTGACAGTTTTAATGAGGGTCTGTGGAGCCGCATTTCGAGCAGCGTTTTTTAGATTCGCGGTGTTTGGCCACATGACCGAAACGAAAACAATTGTGGCACATTCTTAGATCTGGGATGTACGGGCGAACCGGAGCTGATCCTTTGAAAATGGCAACACGTTCTGGTAGAGATGTTCCTTTGAACGTTAGAAGAACTGTCATTGTTTCCACAAAAGATGCTTCATTCTTGTCACTAATCACTTTACGGCTGAATCTACGCGCACTTATCACTTTGCACTCTTTGTTATGAGGGCCTATGGCTTCTATATTTTCAAGGATTTCTTATATTGAAATGTTTTGTGGGATAAAGTTAATGACACCTTGACAGGTTACGAAGCTTGACGGGATGATGGCGATTAGATTATTTGTTTTTAGAACTGGATCCACCAAAAGTTTGTTTGCTGATCTACCACAATTCATGACTACCCTAACCTTACCTCGACCACTTGGGTTGATGTCAATTATTTTTCCAGGATACAGAGGATGGAGCAAACGGCCGACCGAAACATGGTTCTGTTCCTTCAAAGCGTTTGGACACTTGGAGTCATGTTGAATGAAGAAAGGACAATTACCTTTTGTATTACTGTCGTATTTAAGACTTTTTAAATTATTCAAAGCGGTTGGAGGCGAGTTGGTATCGTTGCGTTTCTTATCTCCTCCCTTAAGTAGAGATGCTTTCGGATCTTTATCAGTACTTGACGTGTCTGATGTATCTTGTCATCGCAGCAGGTGCGCTTGTTCTTTTGTGTGACGCCATCAGTATGAGCATCCGACAGTTCCATGCCAACGGAGTCGCTTCTAAGTCTCGGACCATTCTTATACATGAGAAGATTAAGTGCAGCTTCTTCGACTTCGATTGCGTTCGAATTATTCGTTGTTAAATGGTTTAGATTCGGAGGTTGTGGTGAAGGTTAAGGTGTTCCACCTGAGGCACTTCAAAGATGGCGGAGGGCAAATCCACTTGGCGTCCTACGAGGCTTTTTCCAACGGAATGTGTTTTCAGGTCGTCAGATGCGCGAGAAAAAGGAAGAATGTGAACTTGGGAAGAAGAACTAGGCTTTATGCCAATATATTTATGACCGAAAACTCTAATCACTCGAAAAACGGTTTGAGAATCACGGAGCTATAAGAGCGCGCGTGCGTCCGGTGCCGTGGCTCGAGCCAAACTCAGTGCAAGTGTTTAATTTGTCGAGTTACAGCGCAGAAGCAGAACTGGGCATACAGGCATACAAGTGTGGTTGTGAAAACGAGAGACATTTTCTCTGAAAGTTTCACTGCACTTTTATCATTGACATTATAACCTCTAATTTTTGTATTATCTATAATATAAAAACTTGAATATAATATAATTTGTGAATTAATAAATAATAAAATTAATCGTTTACATTCATAAAATGTTCTATTTGATAGATATATTTGTAAATTACTAGTTTCATATTTAAAATTCTTGTTATTCTATTGAAATATCCAGTAAAAAAAGCAGGATTGGAAGAGAGCGAATAGTATTGGCGGTGAGTTTCTGCCAATACGTTTTCGCGTGAAAACCGTATTGGGGGCATTCAGCCTATCCTGCTTTTTCACCGTCAATTCTGTCCTCTTAAATCTTTCGATTTCACGTTTATTGACTCGATTTGGCATTTTAATCAAAAAGACCGATTAATTTAATGTGTAAAAATGCTGATAACGAACAGGAAATATAAAATTTTGTTAAAATGTAAATAAATGAAATTTGACAAACTGTTGGTCTATTACCATATGATTTAGGGTATTTTCTAGATTAACGCTGTGACTTGTGGGTTGGCGGTATATTTATAAACTGAATTATACCAATTTCCACTTTGTGTTCTTTAATTTAATAAGACTCATAATTAATACTATTCAACTGTTCTAATTTATTCAAAATATAAAACTATATTTTTTACAACCTTTACAAAGGCACGTCTGCCTCGTTTTAGAATATCTTACAGAATGTGCAAAGTACTACAGAGCTCAAGCTAACACACACATACACATACTCATACGATCCCTACTCTGTGAGCAGAGAGGGGTAGGAGGGGAAACATTAAGCTGTTCCCCACATACTCCCCCCCGAGTGACTAACGATTTTTTTTAAATTAAAAATTAAAAATGTTTATCTTATTATATGTCGTCGATATAAAATATTTAATACGAAAATAAAATGTAAGAAAAATAAAACCCTAGTTTTTTTTACAACTTATTATAATCCTTAATTCTTCGCGCAAGAATAATTATGATCTAGTTTAGAAAAATCGAAAATAACTCTCTTTTTTATTTACATAAGTCTTAAGTGGAGTTATTTTAATACTATTTTCGTCAGTCGTAGGGATATTTTTACTAGTCGAAGGAACAACATTATTCGTCTTGAAATGAATATCATTTTGTGGAGTGATAACAATATTGTTGACAGGTACACTAGTCGCAGCATTTTTTCTTACATTGTCCGGAATTATCAAATCATCGCGAGTGAAATAAGCTGGCTTAATATTTTCTACTGAAACTCGTTTTTTCTCGCCATTTACTTCAATCTCAAACACGCGATCCGAAGTTCTATCCACGACCTTATGTGGGCCGGAATAAGGACTTTCCAATGATTTTTTTACAGGTGCTGATTTCAAAAAAACATGCGAGCAACTATACATATCTTTAAACACGAAAATTTTTCTCTTATGTTTGTGTGTCACGGGTACGGGTTTCACGAGGCGCATATGTTCTCGAAACTCCTCTAAGAAAAATTGAGGGTTTGCTTTGAATTCATCCGGTAGGATGAATTCACCCGGAATTTTAAGGGTGGTGCCGTAAACATATTCAGCAGGAGATGCGCCCGAGTCAAGGACAGTCGTCCTTAAACCCAGCAAAACCGTGGATAAAGTATGTGTCCATTTTTCGTCCGAGTGGCACATAATGGCAGCTTTTAGAGTACGATGCCAACGCTCGATCATACCATTTGACGCCGGGTGGTATGCTGTTGTCCGCAAACGGTGGCAACCCGCAAGATGCAATAAAAACTTAAAAATCCTAGACTCGAACTGTTTACCCTGATCCGTTGTTATCTTCGAAGGTGTGCCAAAACGCGACAACCAATTATCGACAAAAGCTCTGTAAATAGTTTTCGCCTCAATATCCCGTAAAGGTACAGCTTCTGCCCAACGCGAAAATCTGTCGATCATCGTTAGACAGTATCGGAATCTCTCGCAAATTGGTAATGGACCGATAATGTCTATATGTACATGTGAAAATCTCTGATCAGGGGCGACAAAATGCGAAGGCATCAAAATATTATAACGCGATATTTTTGACCTTTGACACGGCAAGCAATCTCGACACCACTCTTTTACGTCCCTATTTATATTTGTCCACGCGTAACTTTTCCGGATCATCTTTCCCGTAATTTTCGCGCTCGGATGTGACTGATCGTGGAATATGTCAAAAACTCGCTTACGATATACCAAGGGAACATAAGGTCTAAAAATTTCTCCAGGAACATCACATATTATTGGGGTGTGATCAGGGCCCCATAACATGCGTTTTAAATTTAAGGATGTTGGATTCTCTTTTATAAGAGAGTCCAATTCTGTGTCATTTTCCTAAGCTTGGGACAATTCAACGAGACTAATGTCAGAAGCCAAACGAATTAAATCCACGCGCGATAAACTATCCGCTACGACATTTTCGACGCCGGGAATATATCTTAAATCTGTCGTGAATTGAGACAAGAAAGACAACTGTCTCTGTTGTCGAGGAGAAGCCTTATCTAGTTTTTGCGCAAAAGCGTATATCCACATGATGAGCGAGCATGTATTCTTTAAGTTCAATTAATTTACTATTTATCCCATTTATGTTAAAATGGCTTATTACTAAATTTTGAATACGATTATGATTAATATTGACCATTTACTTCAATAAAAACTTGTAACCTGGATATATTATCTTTACAATTTAGTAATTTACTATTTAGGACTTTTACTAGTCGTAGCATTTTACTTACGTCACACAGCTGATGTAACTTTTTGACTTCTTGGAGTAGTGCTTGGTAGTCAGCAGCTCCGCTCATCTGCTGATTAGCCTCCCTCTCGCTCCCTCTGCTGCCACTGGACCAAACGTTGCTGGGTGCATCATTCCTGGTTGGTACTCGAGTATATGCCGTAGCCCCGAGAGGTGAGAACTCTCGGGTTGTCAGCGTAGGAGGGCGTGGCTTCCCACTCTCCAGTCGTTTTTCATTTCTAAGTTGAAATTTGTCGTTTCTCCTTTGCAACATTCTTTCTACATGTTTCAAGTAGTTAACACACTTAGAATAATTTGCCGGGTGTTCGCCACCGCAATTGGTACACTTTGGTGGGTCGTCAGGTGATTTGTTGCAGTCTTTTGTTAAGTGGGGCCTATCGCACTTAACACACCTCTGTTTATTTCTGCAGTACGTGCTGCCATGGCCAAAATTCTGGCAGTTGCGGCACTAAGTCACTTTTCGGGAGTTTTTATACTTCTCCCACTTCACTTTAACGCGACACACGTATTTTGTAGCCCACACTTCCCTCAAGTCTATTTCTTTTTTGAGCGTAATTATGTAGATCGAATTCACTTCCGTTGCTTCGTCATTTGTCTCTTTTCTGAGTATGGAAACTCTTTCGATGGGAATTCCCTGGAGTAAAAGGTCCTCCATTATTTCTGCAGTCGGAAGGGCTGGCAGTTTTTTTGCCACTATATGCTTCGGTCTTTCGTCCTTCGCGGCATACGTGTAATATGCCATGTTAGTGTCTTTGAGTAGCTGGATCAATTCACCTTGTTATTCCTTTGAGGCGGGGTAGACTCTGAGTTCTTTAGAATTGTAATCGATCCTCGTGGTTTTGTCCTTGCAGACACTTGAGATGGTTTTTATGCATTTCATATAGTCAACTATCTTTTCCGTTATGACTATTGGAGGTAGTCTTTTTAATTTAGTTACTTCGGTTTTATCGCCCATGCTGTCTTCATCCTCCATGCTGCTAACCATGTCGCCGAGTACTCCGAAACTATTCGAGGTTGGGATCGATTCTCCATGTGGTTCGTCCTTGCTGTTTCCATTTGACAGTTTTCGTTTCTTAGTAGACACTTTATCGGTTTTTGGTTTCTGACCCATCTTTACACCTAGCGCGCGCCACACGCCTTTGCCAGACTGTCGTAAACTTAAACACTGTTTTGAGTATATTCCAAGGAGCACACAAAACACAGTAGAGACCGGCACGCGCGCCACACGCCTTCGTAACCGCTCTGATAACTTATTTTCTTCCGTACTCGGGTGTCATGAAGTCGACCGACCGAAAACAAAAACAAACTCTCAATCTATGCGCCTCTACTGAGTCGCATCCGCGACATCCCTTCCACCTTGGCAAGAGCCAATCAGCGCGTGAGTAACAGATAACAGTAACAGATAGATTTGTGAGGTCTTTAATATATTCTATGTTTATCTCTATTCTTTTGGAAAATAGATTTAATAACTTTTGAAAACTATCAATCCTAAAATTTTTAATTGTTTATTATTAAGACTGATTACTTATAACAAGAAACTAAAATTATAATGCGTACTCGAAAAACTGAATGATTTTAGTATAAAAAATTAGTTGACAATTTTTTTTAAATTAAAAACATTTATGTATTAAAAATAATTATGATTAGTCCATTTTTTAATACATATCGAAATAATCACTGAAATGCTCAAAACTCGCATATTTACATCACGCATGCGACCAGCACGAAGTGCGACTCTTATAGGGAATCCACACTTCGATCTAAGATGCATATAAGCGGGACGCTCTTTCGTGACGCTCTTATGTATATGTGACGCGACACGAGAAAAGGGACCTATCGCCGCAAAAGAGAATTTTACAGGGAGAGCGTTTAAAGCGCCGCCATGCGCAGAAAACCCGTGTATTTACGCGTACATGCTTAACTTTCGGGCTTTATATTATTAACACTATTTAAGTTTTTCAACTTTTGATTTTTTCACGTGAAAGAGCAAAGAATAATCTGTCGAATAGCACCATAATCTCAAAATCGATTTTTTTAACGATAGGTCCCTTTTCTCGTGTCGCGTCACATATAGATATAGTAAAATATAGGAAGCGCCACGAAAAAGCGTCCCGCTTAGCTTCTTAGATCGAAGTGTGGATTCCCCAATATGCGTAGCATATGAGGAAGCATCTGTGTGATCCAGTGCAGGCACGCGTGCGGGTTAACCAGCACGTGTGCGCGAAATATACCTGACAGTATGCGCGTATCTTGCTATCTGGGTCTCTTGGGGTAAACTTAAAGATTTTTTGTACAGTTATTGGATTGGAAAAAATGATCTGATGAATCACTGGATTCTGTTTGTACTAAACAAATAATAGTAGATTACAAGATGAACGTAATTATCAAATTTTATAGAAAAATCGTTAAACATAATCGGTTTGGATTAGATAATAATGTATTGCATTCAATAGATGAAATCAACCTAAATCAAATAAGCAGATTATTAAAAAAGAATATTCGATTCCATCAAAATAGGATTATTCAATTAGATAAAAAAATATGGACAATATTTTAAGCCAAAATAAAAATATAAGTAGCAATGAAAAGGTAGCTACACAAGAAATAATAAAAGCTGACAGAACATTAGATGCTAGGGGTCGCAGGTATTCTGACGATTAGATGGCCCTATCCATGATAATACACATGCGTTCTCCGGTAACATTCCGAATGATTAGAGACAATAAAATTCTACCATTGTCTACTGTTCGAACAATTAGAAAGTAAAATTAAAATTATTGGCATATGTTTGGCATTTTCCACGTCAAACGATTCTACGGAAACCGCTCTTAGGAAATTCGGTGCGGAATTTGCTAATATATGGTGTAACTAAATTATTTTAACGGTATTTAAGATATTTTAATAAGCGACAACATCAGGTTTAAGGGGGGAGTCTGGTCTATGAGGTCGAAAAAATCGAATTTTTTTTATCAAAAATATTCATAAACCTGTAGGTAAATTTAGGTTCATCCGAATTTTATCTTTTTTTTGTTGTATTATTGAATCACTCGAATCTATGTATCATGTACTGTTCCTTGAAAGGCTGATTATCCCTAGGAACTTTGAGTACTTAATTAAAAAAATAAATAAATTTTACTATCCTCTTTTAACCAAAAATTCTTGGGATTTATATTTTAGACGAATTTATGGAGTCTATAGTACTCTCGCCGATTCTAACGATCCGTAGGCTTTTCACTGCAATATCCACCCTCAGCTGGATCAGACTCTTCCCTTAAGGGTTCTAGAAATGTTTGTACAGCCCGTTTTTAATATCGACACTCCTGTTATTTACTTTTGCCAAAAAACAATGTACCTTGTTTTATTGCTTTTACTATGTATTACCTGTAAGTTTAGATGATTAGTTTTGGATATTTCCGAGTATTTATAACCAAATTTTCTATTGCTTTGAGACAAAAGTGATTTCTTTGTTTTGCTTCGATGAAAATAAAGCAAAAATTGATTCCCTTGTGATAAATTAAACAGCATTTTATCTTCATAATTTTTCGGTTTTTCTAAGTGTTGAGTATTGTTGACCAAATTGCACTCCAATCTAAATAATTACAAAAAAATATATTCCAGCTAAACTTACTGTCTAAAATATTGTTTAATATATACTACATCGTTTACAAAATAGAACTAAAACCTATTAATGATAAAATCTCTGTTTAGAACTACATAACAACTACGGAAACTATATTTCCGAACAGCAAACTTTTGAAAAATGTGACCAACAATAGAAGGTTTAAAATAAGTGTTTGAAAATAGTTTTATTTTTGTAGGATTGATATTTGTCTGATCGTTAGATGTCAGAAGTGTTGTCAGCTTATGAGACATTTTTGCAAAATATAGACAGTTTTCGACTAGTCGTTGATAAGATCGGCTGTGTGCCAAGAGACTATAAAGAGTTTAGTGTTAATGAACAATTATTTAATAATAGTGACTTAATCAGTCTGCACTCGCTTCATTATTTTATAATAAATACTTTCATCAGTATTTCTGTTATTTAATTTATAATTCTACATTCTAGTTAAACACAGAATCTACTATATTAAAACACACTTATACGATTACACACAGTATGAATACAATTTAAACATCGAATTTATAGTTTGAAAATGATGCATAC